TATATATATATATATATATATGTACATATTATCAAGAGCGTATTAAGAAGGTCTTTTTAATACGCTCTTGATATTATATGCATACACATACACATACGCATACACATACACGCACACGCACGCACACGTACACGTACACATATGCATACACGTATACGTTTACATACACATACACGCAGATGTACACGCAGACGTACACTACGCAGACGTACACGTACACACATACACATACGCATACGCATACGCATATACGCATAAGCATACGCATACACACACACACGCACGCACGCACGCACGCACGCACACAACCACACACACACACGCGCGCGCGCGCACACACATATATATCTGATATATACATATACACACATACACATACACACATATAGTATTTATAACGCATATCATATAGAACAAAAACAAACCGATTCAGGTAAATACATATTATTACTCTTTAATAACATTTCATAAGGAAGGCAGCTATATGTAAGCTATATATATATATATAAGGTTATCTCAAGCTATACATACATATATATATATATATGCATAGCTTGAGATAACCTTCTTTTATAGCAACGTATAACGTATGCTTATAATGATTTATGCATAACCTTAAAACTGTACAGACTATTTATAACAAGCGCAGTGGCATATGGCATATCATTGATCTCAACACGAGGAACATACAGTAACATCAAATTAACATCGTAGTAGTTGAAACTTTACGTATTCAACCTTTGATCGCAAACAGCCGATATAGCAACAGTGTGATAATTCCTCGCATAACGATATAAATAACGACCGACTAGTTATATATGCGTGGGAGATATCGGACCCAGTTAGAGCTTACGTACATACTGTGAGCTCTCAGATATCATGTATTGTTAGGCTGAAAGCGACTTTTTCGCGAAAAAATAATCAAGAGATGGCAATGAAATTAACGAAGACAGTGCAATTTTTCAGCGAGTAAATCTAATCTGAACGAGTTTGACAGCGTCGCTTAATTACTACATGGAGGTTCGTTAGTGGAGTATATATATAATTATATATGTGTGTGTTCAGCATGGAGTCGCGTGGGCAAATTATGCTGATATGAAGAAATTACGAGGTGATTAAAGAATTTTTATTCTAACGAGGCGTATTCCGATAACACGCCTGCGCTATATGTAATGCAAATGTACACTGCATGTAATTATATATTATATATTATTATATGTACGTCTGGCTAAATAGAATGTAACGCGCCTGTACACGTCGTCACGTAGTCCAAACCATCGGTATAGGTCTGCGAGTACAGTATCAGGACACCATAACATCGCAGAGTAGGACATAGTACAGATAGCGAGGCACATTTCGCCGACAGAACGCCTGGCAACGAGTATAGGAGGATATCACGATAATATCGAATTCGAAGATGCGCACCGCAAACTACTAAAATACTGTGACTAGAAGGCGATCGTAACGACGTCATAGGCTGTTATGGCGACTGCATGACGTCACCCCGTTGCATGCCGGGTGAGTGTAGTCGAAACCTTCGAACTCCGACTGGTTGATTTTCTTCAGCATGCTCCTGGAATGAGAAGATAACAGGTTAGAGGTATGGGAGCTATGCCAATCGGTTGCCTCCTCACGCAATTGAATGCTTCGACCGGCCTTAATTTCAACAGGCGATATACTTCAACGCGTTGAGAATTGTATATACGAATTTAAAGTCAACTGCATGCACCGCGGGAGTGTAGTTCGTCTTATAGCAGTTCTAGTCCTGGAGCAAGTCTCGTCCGTTTTCCATAAGCATGGCCAAAATACACTGAGTCGTTGAATGCATTGCTGCCTCAACGACTAAACCTATTAAATCTTCCCTGGAGTTAGAAACTTCAAGCGCTCTTGCGTTCGCCGATTTCCATTGTCAGATAGGTCAACTAGGTACTCGACAAGCCAGAAGGTCTATGCAGAACGACGCACGCGAACCCACTCTCTATACGCTACATGCTCACGAACCTCATATGTAGCACGTATATACAGTTGGATGAAAAGCAGCGACGGATTCGACGAAGATGCAGCAATATCCGCTCGCTCTTTATTAGACAAACGCATGATTTTTGTAAGGCGTTCGTATCGCATCGATCTGATTATTTTCACTCCGCTATAGCAACGTAGTTATAAGTCTATACTCTCTATACTGCAAAGATTTTTTTCGCGTTTTGTAAAGCAAACATACGCATTAAATTGAAAGCGCGGCGAGGCGTGAGTGCAGCGGGAGCGCATGCAGACACGCTGCTCTGCACATTTGCCTTGCAGCTACGTATATATCGACTCGTCTACCGATTTACTTTGCGTCCTTCAGTTGAAAGAAAACAATCAGGAGACAAAGAAGATAGAGAGAGAGAGAGAGAAAACGAGAGAGAGTGCAAGAAAGAGAAAGAAAGAGCGAGAGAGAGAGAGAGAGAGAGAGAGTGAGAAAGCGAGCGAGATAGATATATAGATAGATAGATGGATAGATAGGGAGTGAGAGAGGGGGGATAGATAGAGAAAGAGAGCGAGAGAGATGCAGATGGAAAGAGAGACCACTGTGGAAGCAGTGGTAGCTGTTGCGTATGCCACGCACGCACACACACACATCACACACACACACACACCACACACACACACACACACACACACACACCACACACACAACCACACACACACGCACACCACACACACGCACAACACACACACACACACACACACACACACACACACAAACAGCACACACACACACACACATACACACATTGTATCATATATATATACATATATATATAAAATATTATAATATATATATATATACGCCAACAATTCTACCACTGCTTCCACAGGTTGGTCTCTCTTTCCATCATGCATCTCTCTCGGCTCTCTTTTCTCGTATCTATCCCCCGCTCTCTCACTCCCTATCGTATCGCATCTATCTGATCTAGGTATATCTATCTCGCCTCGCTTTCGTACTATCTCTCTCTCCTCATCTCTCGCTCTCTTCTTTTCTTCCCTTTATATATAGCACTCTCCTCTCGTATCCT